GAATTCGCGTGAAACTAAACTGAATATCTCGTTTATGCATTCTTCAAATGACTGTGTTTCACAAAGGTTGGTACCATATTCGACTTATCGCGGCATAGTTCCATAATGAAAACTATTCACCCCAAGAGACAACCTCCTATTGGATGGAGATGACTTAGGGTGGTTTGTCCATGGCCTGGCAACGAAGCATGGAGGCTATTACCAGTCAAGTCAGTCGCGTTGGCAAATGCCGTCTGTCCTGATGGATACCGCGGGAAGAGATATACCAATGGTTGGTGATTCTGACAGATACGAATGAATCTGACAGTCAGTAATGGTCTTACATCAGTGCTATCACCTTCACCGCATAGCCGTCAACCCCTGCTCCGCCGGACAAACATAACTTTTCAGGACTACCCAAGGTTACTGAAATCTCTTGGAAAGTCCACGACCGGTTTTGCTCTTCTTGGGGATCATCAGGTAGGCACAGTCCGCGAGCTTCCATCCACTTTATGTTCTACTTGTGCCCAAATTTCACGAAATTCGACAGCGACACTCATTTGCATACCGTTTTCTTTTTCACGGGGAATTCGCGTGAAACTAAACTGAATATCTCGTTTATGCATTCTTCAAATGACTGTGTTTCACAAAGGTTGGTACCATATTCGACTTATCGCGGCATAGTTCCATAATGAAAACTATTCAAAGGCCCCAAGAGAGGCGAAACCAGTCGTGGCTGCTAAAGAGTTTTCATCAGTCCTATGAGTGGTTTTTCTTACAAAAATGTGCTACGATATCTCCAATATCGTACCAACTTAGTGGCTTTTGTGCATCACTTACAGTTTAATAATATCATAAACGGGAGATTCAGCTTTGGTTCAGGTGAGTCTTTCGTGAAAATGAGTGTATACCGTTTGACGCCCATGCATGGATTGGATCATTGTCCCTAACATACAAGGCGAATTCCCTTATTTTCCTTATCATTGGCGAACGACCATTCCATTCCATGCCACCCGAAGGAAGCAGGAGGGCTCAGATTCCTTCTGATTGCTCATACCTAGACAGAATCAGACGTCTTACCACGGCATTGTGGTTCAGCCTTTTGAGTCAAAGTCTCAAGGTGAGGTGCCTAATCCAACCCCCCTCCTTCGCTCTGGGCAACTGGGAATTATCATTTGCCCGCAGTTCGGTGTCCACTGACGTCCCTCCAACCTCTTCCCACCATACAAGCAGTTTGGCTGTCAGTTATCTGATCGAATGGCCTTATGCTCCTCGCTGCCCAATAACAATATACAAAGCACCACCCTTCTAAGTTCACGAAATCCTTTCTATACAGGAGCTTTTAACGTCCGTACTCTATGTCAAATTGGCAAACAGGAAATGCGTGATGAGACCTAATACGTGATGAGAACTAATTTGGAACCCTCCAACACATCGATTCAAGATTTTGGCACCCACACTAGCCGACAAGAACCGTTAATTGACACTCAACACTGATTTAGTCTGAAGAGAACTTACTGATTGGTTCCCCGTCTGTCTTATAACCTGGCCAATTTTGTGACCTGTTCACTTGGCCTGATGAAGCTTTTGTGTCAAAAGCGAAACGTTGCCCAAATAAAAACTACCGATTGTTTACCAAGCTCTTCTGAAATGAAGACCTTATATTCGGTTCCAAACT